CCTAACAATGTCGATAGCCACATATATATAGGCATCAAGAAAAAACAATATTACCATAAATAAAATCATAAATTAGTAAATTACTGAAAATTCGAATAATAATAACAAATAGACAAAAATTCCTAATTCCATCTTTCTTTCCCACGTCTTCAATAGTAGGAGTGGGCCATGTGGTCTTCAAGCTCTCGGGCCACGCCAGTTCTTCATCATTCTCTCCCAGTTGAGAAGAACTCTCCACTGGAGAGTAAATGCATATGTATGACTCCAAAAAGCAAGAGTCAACATAATAAACTTCTTCAGCTACAAATCCAAAACTGGAAGAAAATTATAGATATCCCAAATATGAGAAGCATAACATTGACTATCCAAAGTATCATTAATCCAATCCATATACTCCAGTTAAGAAGACGGAAGTGCCAATGCTGAGGAACATTAACTCTGCCTATATGAACACTGCTATCCAAAATATGGTTTAATTATACTATATACTATAGTATTATTTATTTAAATATTATCTATAAAAATAAAATAATAATTTATAAATATATAATTTCTTATAATATATAATTTAATATAATCAAATAAAACTATAAATAAACCTAATTAAAAGTCGAGGTTAGAATTTGATTCTATATCCTTAAGACAGATTCGCCCCGCTATGGTGCTAACGAACTCCGTGGCGTCTATCTCCCAAGATACAATGACTTGTCTTCCTTCGGAAGTAGCACTGCAAACCAAAGGAATAGGCGAACGGGGGTGTAGTACTCTCTGACTCGAACTCAGACTTGGAGTGACTGACTAAGGCTCGAACCCAAATACTAAGACTCGAACCCACAGACTAAAAAGAGAATGAGGAAGAAGAAAATTCAGAAGAAGAGAAGAATTCTCTGAATTTTGGTATGATTTGGAATGAACCCAAGGAGGGGTATTTATAGGCTATAGATCCGCAAAAAATTCTTAGCGGAATCTATTCAAATTCTCTTCCAAAGTTTATGTTTTTAATGCCCCTATTTTCAACAAACACATGCCAATAAAACAGGAGGCTCAAAGGTACATCGGTTAGGTAATAGATACTCCACATCAAAAATTGAATTAATACTCATATCTAAAGACCAGTCAAAGAAATATGCATTAGGTCCTAGTTTTTTAATGAGGTGGAAAATTCCAACGATTTTGGCATGTTTTATTTGGAAGGAGTTTTTAGGATGAGGTTGAAGGTAGTGCACAAATATAGCATAATCTCATTCACTTAATTCGTGATTCCTATGATGAGCATATGCAATAAGTTCATAATTTTTTTTACTTAAAACAATTTCTTGTTGCATATTGGCATGGAAATTATGAACAAGTTGAATAAAGGAAACAAGAAACTCAAGTGAATACCTATATGGAGGCAAAGGACTATAGACTAGCATAGTAAAGAACAACTACCAGTACTTTGATTAGTCAAACTTGTATAAACATACTCCATGATAGGTAAAAACAAGTTTAAAATGTCTAGGTGCATGCTAATAGTAAAACTAACCATCGTTCCTATTCCTTAATTTACAGTCACAATTTTTCTATCTGTCAGAGGGCAAAACGCATAAGGAAACTTCAAATTTGTTTCTAAGAATGTCCAAAGTGTCTTCCTGAAATTACTACTGTGTTTGTCCTAAGTAAAAAGGATTATGAACTTACTGCATATGCCCATAATATATAGAAATCATGAATTTAATGAAGGAGATTATACTATAATTTGTGCACCACCTCAACCTTATCATAAAAACTCTTTCCAGATGAAACATGCCAAAATTGGTAGACTTTTCCACATCATTCAAAAATCAGGACCTAATGCATATTTCTTTGACTGGTCTTTAGATATGAGTACTAATTCAATTTTTGATGTGGAGTATTTGTTACCTAATCAAGGTACCTCTGAGCCACCAATTTTGTGGGCATGTATTCCCACAAGCAGAGTTACATCTTCCTTAGCATCAGCATTGACACTTCCGTCTTCTCAGCTGCAGTATATAAATTGGATTGATCTGGATTGATCGTATTTGGGATGTCCACAATTACCTTCCAACTTTAGATTTTACATGATTGCAGATAAAAAAATTTATTATGTTGACTCTTACTTTTTGAAGATATATATCAGCATTTTATCTCCAAAGGAGAATTCTTTTCAACCGAGAGGGAATGATGAAGAACTGGGCCTAACTCGTGAGATTGAAGACCACATAACCCATACCTACTATTGGAGACGTGGAAAATAAAGAAAGAAAGATGAATTAGGGATTTTTGTCTATTTATTATTATTATTGGATATTTCAGTAATTTAGTATTTTAGGTTTTTATTTATGGTAATAGGATTTTTAGGGTCTTCTTTAATGCCTATTTATATGTTGGTTTAGACATTGTGAAAACATGTTTTGATGATTATTATTGAATTTTGATTCTGAGTGTAACGACCCACTCCACCACATGGTATGATATTATCTGCTTTGGGCCTGAGCCCGCACGGTTTTGCTCTTGGGCTTTACCCCAAAAGGCCTCATACCAATTAAAGTGACACACTTACATATAAGCACTTCACCTTTCCTCTACCCAGGCGATGTGGGACTTGTGCACCCATAGCTCGCCAGTGTGGTAGCCTGTCAGTGTCTCTCGCACCCGCCCACAGCACACCCGCCCACAAGGTCATCACAAACTGTCACACCCCAAATTTTAATACAAAAATTACTTGTTCTGCATATAAAATTAAAAGTATAACTTCCACACATTCTCAACATACATCCACCATAAATAGAATTTCGATGAATCTCATCATATAATTTAATAATATGAGAGTCTGACAAATTTATAATGAATAGAGGTGAAATTTCCTCTAAAATAAGAAAACATCCATAACCACTAAATCAACTAAAACACAGTCGCACAAAATGCCAACTTTATTGCACTGATCATAATTAAGGAAAACTAAGTAAAAACACATAAATATGCAACGAGCTAAAATCCATCCCTGTCATGTGTCTCCATCACGTTCCTACTCTACGAGCACCTGAAATGTGATAATGGGGTGAGCTCACAAGCTTAGCAAGAAATGCTAAACACAATCATCGTTCAGCAAGTTAACCTTACCTTGTATTCTCATATATATAAGCAACTCAATAAATGCATTAATTAAATATGCATATTCCAATTAATTATAAACTTAATAAATAACCATCATTTATTTTTTAATAAATCTGAATATCTCATATGAGCCCTGGGCTCTCATCCAATAAAGTGGTGTGAATCGCATAGTCCCTGATTACCGAAAACAAATGTGTGGCTGGATTTTACGTCTACTCCCCAGATGATCCCTAATCACGTCCACACAATAAGAGCTCATTAGACCCATGGCCATAATAAAAGGGTAGTACACTCCCAAATAGGCAGGTCCCTGACCATACCCAAAAGTCATCATAGGGTCGTCCCTGACTACCCCTCCGACTAATCCAAACTCATCCATTAATTATTAATTATGGTAAATTATGAAAGGTATCAATAATTAATAATTCAGATTAATAATTAATACACTCAAATACCATTTTAATTTAAAAACAGAACCTTAAAGACCCAACTAGTGAGAGTACAAAATTCCTGGACATAGCCTAACATTATATATAATATCCTGCAAAATTTCAGAATTTAACTCTTAATAGTTTTTCTGTACTCTCCCTTTTAGTGCTGAAAAATAATACTTTTTCATGTTTAAATTTTGTAAAACTAACAAACAGTCATTTAAAAATCTAGATTTCAGCACAAATAAATTCATTATACTTAAAACTAATATTCTAAAATTTAACACAATTTTTGAAATAACAATACTATTTTTCATAATTTCCTTTAACTTAAATCAATTTTAAAAGAATAATATTTAAATAAAAGAAATAAGATTTAAATTGCACAGTAGACTCCAAAATGGGTCTTCCTCATCCCATCAATCACGTTTTAGCTAAAGCTTTGATCCATTATATATATATATATAGATATATATAATCATAATTATTTAGTTTCCACATCAAACTAAACCACTGATCAAACTAATCATAAGTTTAATACAGTGCCATCAAACATATTCCAAACCCATTCTCTACTCCCACTGATATAAGCCATTACACCTAAGCTTTACAAATATATAAATAGAAAGCTTATATATATGTATGTATACTACACCTATAAGGTATCTAATCTAATCATTCAATTATTTCCCTATACCACTTATACCACTTGATACCAACTCATATATGATAACATCAATAATCATCCCAATATTTTCAACCAGATTAATATAACGCAACATGTAAATGTAAAATTAATTTATGAATTAATATAACAACAATATAACCAATCCGTACACTCTAACAGAAACGATAATAAAAAATTATGTAAAAAAATATTATCTAATCTTTAATAATAAATAATTCTCCTAATCACGCCCAATTAAATTCAAAATAACAACCTACACAACTTATACTATTCTAATCACAACAATCATTAAGAATAATTTCTTTTTCTACTATTTATTAAAACCATACAAATTAGATTTTCCAGATTATCAAAAGCAAGTTACAAATATATATAAGAGTACAATGTAAGATTAACTTGCCTGGAAATTTCTAAACCTTCCTTTTACGTGATTGCCTTATCACCGTCCCTTCTCCCGGTTACTGCAGAAGGTAGGAAGTATCAGTAACTTCTCTTTCTATCTTTCTCTCTCTCATTTTATTTCTTCCTTTTACGCAGTAGAAAGAAAAAAAATGAAACGTATATAAAAATAAAAAAAATATCGGTAGGTGAGCTAATTTAGGATCCCCTTTAAAAAAAAAAAATTCAACTTTTAAAAAGGTAACCTATTATCTCTATTATTCCTTAAAAAGTCAACTAGAAAAATATATATTCTTAATAAAAAAAATACGGGTATTACATTCGACCCTCCTAAAAAGAAATTTCGTCCTCGAAATTTGCGTACCTCATTCGAAGAGATGTGGGTACTTTAGCTTCATTTCAGACTCTAGCTCCCAAGTAGCCTCTCTCTCATCCTGATGATTCCACTGCACCTTCATTAGAGGTATCTCTGCCCGCCTCAACTGTTTCACCATACGATCAACAATGCGAATAGGCGTCTCAACATAGGTTGTATTAGAGCGCAACTGAACCTCTGTGCAGTCAATAGCCTGGTTTTCATCCCTTAAGCACCTCCTCAACATGGAAACATGGAAAACATTATGAACAGCAGAGAGTTTGGGTGGTAAAGCCAATCTATATGCCACTTCCCCAATCCTCTCTGTGATCTCAAAAGGTCCAATGAATCGAGGAGCTAGCTTCCCTTTCTTCCTACCAAATCTCGTAACCCCCTTCATTGTGATACTTTTAAGAACACTAAGTCTCCCACACTAAACTCCAAAGCTCGATTCTTCTGTCGACTCTGAGCTGTGCGAAGTCTATCTCGAATGATGGCAACCTTCTCCGTAGTCTCTTGCACTAACTCTGGCCCCAAAAAACTACTATTACCAACCTCGGCCCAACATACAGGTGAACGACAAGGTCTACCATAAAGTGCCTCATACGGTGCCATACCGATACTAGCCTAATAGCTGTTATTATAAGCGAACTCAACCAGTGGAATGTGATCCTCCCAACTGCCCCGAAAATCTAGCACACAAGCACGAAGCATATCCTCTAGCACCTGAATGACCCTTTCAGGTGCTAGACATATGAGTAATTCCCTATCTATTGTAACTCCACTCGGGAGCACGACGACACTTGATAGAATATGTCGTGCTTTTCCTATTACAATTGGGGAGTTAGAGTATCCTATTGATTTAATAGTATTATGTATGAGAGACTTTGATGCTATACTGGGTATGGATTGGTTAGCTCGATATCATGCTCAGTTGGACTGTCATGAAAGGACTATTGTATTCTTAATTCCGGGATAGTCACCTTCTCGATATAAGTGTGGAAAGTTCGAGGGCACCATGACTATGGGATTTCTCGCCCACATTGAGGTGGTTGAGCAACGCGTGACTATAGAACAGTTGCCTACAGTGTCAGAGTATGCAGATGTGTTTCAAGATATTCCAATTTTGCCTCCTAGGAAGGCAGTAGATTTTTGCATCGACCTTACTCCTGGTACTTCACCTATCTCTAGGGCACCTTACAGAATGGCGCCAGTTGAATTGAGTGAGTTAAAGAAGCAGACTCAAAAGTTGCAAGATCGGGGGTTTATTCAACCTAGCACATCACCTTGGGGAGCACCTGTTCTATTTGTCAAGAAGAAAGATGGGTCACTCCACTTATATGTTGACTATCGTGAACTGAATAAGGTCACTATTAAGAACAAGTACCCATTGCCACGCATTGATGATTTGTTTGATTAACTCAGAGGGGCGCATTTGTTCTCTAAGATTGACTTGAGGACTGGCTACCATTAGTTGAGGATTAGGGAGGAGGATATTCCTAAGACTGCCTTCAGGACTCGTTATGGCCTTTATGAGTTTTTAGTCATGCCTTTTGGGTTGACTAACACTCCAGTAGCTTTTATGGATTTGATGAATCGAGTGTTTCGACCTTACTTGGATCAGTTTGTTGTGGTATTTGTTGATAACATTCTGATATATTCCAAGACTAAGGAAGAGCATAAGAGACACTTGAGCATTACACTTCAGACTCTACGTGAGCATCAACTTTATGCTAAGTTTGAGAAGTGTGACTTTTGGCAGGAGCAGATTCAGTTTTTGGGGCATGTGATCTCTAAGGATGGAGTTTTAGTAGATTCTGCCAAGGTGGAGGCTGTGATGAGTTGGAAACAGCCTACTACTGTCACTGAGATTCGTAGCTTCTTAGGATTGGCAGGATACTACAAGCGCTTCATTGAAGGTTTCTCCAAGATTGCTGCACCTATGACTCATTTGACTAGGAAGGATGTGAAGTTTGTTTGGGATCACCATTGTGAGCAGGCATTTGAGGAGCTGAAGAAAATATTGACTTCGGCCCCAGTTCTTACCATTCCTGTTAGTGGTGAGAGATTTGTGATCTACACAGATGCATCATATTAGGGTCTTGGCTGTGTTTTAATGCAAGATGATAAGGTAGTAGCATATGCTTCTAAGCAGCTTAAGCCACATGAGTAGAATTACCCCACACATGACTTGGAGTTGGCAGTAGTAGTTCTTGCATTGAAGGTGTGGAGGCATTACTTGTATGGTGAGAACTTTGAGTTATTCTCTGATCACAAGAGCCTCAAGTACCTCTACACTCAGAAGGAGTTGAATATGAGGCCTTTTGGGATAAAGTCCAAGAACAAAACCATGCGGGCTCAGGCTCAAAGCGGACAATATCATACCATGTGGTAGAGTGGGTCGTTACAAATGGTATCAGAGTCTGACCCAACCGGAAGTGTGCCGACGGGGACGTCGGGCCTCCAAAGGGGGTGGATTGTGATGACCTTGCGGGCGGGTGTGTTGTGAGCGGGTACGAGAGACACTGACAGGCTACCACATTGGCGAGCTACAGGTGCACAAGTCCCACATCGCCTGGGTAGAGGAAAAGTGAAGTGCTTATATGTAAGTGTGTCACTCCAATTGGTATGAGGCCTTTTGGGGTAAAGTCCAAGAACAAAACCGTGCAGGCTCAGGCCCAAAGCGGACAATATCATACCATGTGGTGGAGTGGGTCGTTATATTGAGTGTTTTCAGATTTCTTTTCCCTCATTATTCTTCTCTTTTCCTTTTATTATTTTTCTATCCTCCTTCATTCTGATTTCTTCTCCTATTATTTTATTCTATTTCTCTCTCAATCTCTTTCTTATTCTACTTGAATTCTGATTTCGAATCTCCCCTACCCGCTGCTGTATCAATTTTTTATTTTATTTTTTTTGTGACAAGAAGCAGACTTTTCTAGTAAGCCGTCAATGGTAGTGGTGGCTATGAAATCATCTTTTCAATTAGGACTGTATCCATTTGATATTAATTATATTATAAAGTTTTAACGGTCTTGTTCTAGGGTTTTTCAGTTTAACAATAACCAAAACCCTAACTTTATAACCACAAAATGGTGTGAGATTTAGGCTTTGTTTGGATTGAGGGATTTGGAGTGATTTGGAGATAAAAGAAATGGAAGGATAGTGTATATTGTGTTTGGATGAAAGGAATTGGGTAGAAAAGAAAAGACTTAGAAGGATTTAGAGGGATAGCTATCCCTTCAAATTCTTAAATTGTATCCCTTCAAAATTGACAAGATTTGGAAGGGAAGGAAAGTAGGTTAAGTGGCATTTTCTTTATGACAAAGGTAGCCTTCAAAATTAGATACACAAAATTTTTATTCCATTTAAGTCCTAATAAACTGTTGCAACAACTGATTAGGGTTTTGCAGAGCAAAAGAGAGGTCTGGACACAATGACTGTGTTGAGCTCCAAGCAGATATTGCAGCAAAATGAGACTCGCGACCCCGACACCATTACAACTCTTGTACTCAACCATAAAGCTCTTTTTGATGTACACTCGTAATTTATTCTATATCTATCTCTAATACCCTACTATTTTATCTATTAAAACTTCAAATCTTCATCATTGTGTTCTCATGGATTCAATCAATTTAATCTTATTAGGTTTCATACTTGAACGAATTCAAAAACTTAGAGAGACTCGACCTGTACTTCAATAATCCATCTTCACTCGAGGTAGTCTAATGCTTTTGCAGTTGAATAGTGAAATGTCAGTTTATGAAATAGATTAATTTGAGGTTTAATTTTGGTTTCTTAATTGTTAACTCAGGGTTTGCGGTCATGTGTCAATTTGAAGTGGGTATCAGTTATGCAGAATGAACTTCAAAGCTTGAAAGGAAGCGAAGGACTTACTAAACTCACTGTAAGTTAATCACACAGTTTATACATTTCCCTTTCAGCTTGCCTAGGCTGTTGAAGATGAAGAGATAACTAGCCTTAATACACACCACAAATTTCTATATATATAAAAGGGTAAAATAGTAATTTGATTATTATTCTTTCCTTTATTTTTTCTGCTCTGTTTTATCCAAACAAGAATATTATTCATTCCTTTCTTTTCTCTCCTATCTATCTAAACATGAATATAAATTATAACTATCATTTCCTTTCCTTTCCATTATTTTCTCTCATAACTAATGTTATCCTTTCCTTTCTTTTATCTCATGTGTATCCAAACAAAGCCTTAAGGATTTAGGTTTCTCAAATTGTATGATTTGGATCTTACATCCTGCACTCTTGTCTACCATTATATGGGCAAGACTCACTCATGGAGTCACCAATAAGTGTAAACTCTTAGAGATGGAGGTACAACATATAAGATAGTGGAGATTCAAGACATTAGACCAGATTAAACACCAAGAAATCCTTATAAGAGAGAGTGGCAACAACCAAGAAAAAAAAGGAATCCAAGGAACCCCGAGACCATCTGTTACAATTTTAACACGGTTTTAACTTATATGTCTTGATTTAAGAACATATAGAAGTGTATTGAAAGATGGTAGACGCATTTGTTAGTGATACATTGCATAAGACAAGCCCACATGTCAATGGTGCGTTGAATATATATACTTTAAAAAAACATTACATCTTCTCTCTTTACGGTGCTTTGGGGTTTATACTAAAAGGGAGACCTCAAGGTATCCTGAGTCTCACTTAACAACAAACCCCTAGAAGTCCAAGTGAACCATGACCCAACCTAAAGATCAAGGCATGTGAAAAGTTCAATAAGTCCCTTGCGATACTAGAGACTTGTGCAAGCATAAAGATGCGTGAGTGAGAATGCATGATTAGATAATCTTTTAAGTACTTCAAGGCCCATGTGCCCAAGGGGTATCAGTTGCATCTCCTCGAGCACTATCGGCCTACTTAAGGGTGATACCTTCTGGCAAAATAAGTAGAACACACAAAACCTCACATATGGATCAATTCTGGAAGTTAGTGCTCTATGGCCAAGTTTAGCCAAAAATTCAATTTCTCATCTCAATTTGATAAAGGGGGAGGATAAAGCTTTTCAAGGAGAAAAAATGAGTTAATCACGGTTTATGACTAAGTCGGGGTATAATATCAATTTTACAAAAGTATTAGTAGAATACATCTCGCGGACTTCTACACCATGCTCTCTTGCTTTCCATCAAAACTCTCAAACTGATTCTAATGGACAGGCATCCCAATATGAATATATATATTATTTGAAAAAGTAAAGTTCACTCAAAGAGCACTTGTGCGGGAAGAGCATCCCATATACAAAAGCCAAAAATAAAACACAAAAGGAAAATCCCCAATAGAATTACAATAAAACCCATTCACCCAATATATATAATAAGTCAAGGTATAATTGCAATAAGGCCATGTGAT